CCACAACAAACACAAACAAACATCGTGTGGTGAGAGACATGATTCCAAATCCCAGAGCTGTCTGCCCATCATCAGGGTAGGCCCCTCGTCACTGGATAAGGCAAGCTAGCATCAGAAACTTGAAGGGGTTTAATCCCAAGTATTATAGCTAGCCTAACCATTCAGGAATACTATATACTTCATCATATCTCTCCCTATCTGTGTGTCTGTGTGTCTCATGGAGAGCAAGCTGGGGTATGCGAAAAGATAATTCCTAATGCAAGAAATTGTAAAGGGTTAATAAAGTAATGTTATTATTATTATTATTATTATTATTATTATTATTATTATATCAGCAGAGATGGAAAAAAAATTGACAGTTAAAATTACAGTCTCATAAAACAAATTCTTGACCCTTACATATTGCTTTCACAGTTTAAATATCAGCAGTAATAGTAACATAACAACAAAATCTAACAATTCATTAACTACCTAAATAGCAATAGCTCTAACTAACAATATCACCTCTGGGCTCGCTCTCATTACGGTAATGGATTCAGAATTATTACTAGTTCCTATAAACAATCATAAAACTCACAACTGCTAAAATGAAACAAGAGAGTGCTCTACTTGATACCTTTGTCTTCTCCGGTTAGGTTTATGTTTCCAAATCCCTGGTTCACATTGGACTAAGGCCAGGAATGTAATACTATCTCAAGGCCCCGCAGAACCTTCCCCTGTTTGTATTTTGTCAGCATGCTCAAAAGAGTTCTGGCTGTCAGGAAACAAGTTCTCTTATTGAGCAAGATTGAAGGCAAGACCAGGATATTACTTGGCAAAGACGTCCAGAATGGAGAAACGTGTGGAAACATCACAACAGCTAAATTGCACAACTCCCATTTGTGTTACATGCTGAACTGTCTTTCACACAGGACTCTGGCAGTGAAGCAACTACTGTACAGAGCTGTTGCAGAGACTCCTACAAATAAAAACATTAAGTGTTCAATGTCCAACACTAAGCTTCTTAAAAAGGAGAAAAAAAGCTCTTTTAATTTCATACGGATAGCCACAGAGTATGGAGCTCGTAGAACAGCGCAAGAGCTGGATTACATTTGGCCTCTGTCTCACTGTGAATGTTCTTACACTAAATTAATGAGGCCGTATAAAAGCTGCACAGCAAGAATCCCTCTTTGGGACAAAGTACAAGACAGAATGTAGTGCAGCACTTTGTAATGTTAGCACACATTCTTACGCCACTGGTTTTAAACTATGTAACCAGAAATATACTGTTACATTTCACAATTCCCTATTTTGCCCTAGCACAGGCATCTATGAGGTACTGTGAAGATGGAATATTTCCAGCTCAAATGAAGTAGAAGCCACCACATGTTTGTTTTTTCATGGGAGTAGGTATGACGAGAACTATTTCATCCAACCAGGTAATGATCCATCTCGAACGTCACCATTAATTCAAAGGGCCTGTTTATTGTTTTGTTCCATTTCACTTCCATTTTCAACAGTTTATAAAACCTAAAAAAAATACTGTACTAATCCAGGAATCCAGTTTAATAGATTTTAAATAAAGAATGCTACCTTTTAAAAATGAGGTAAATGAAAAAATTACCATACCTTCACTCATAAAATGAATTATCTTATAACAAGTTATATAGAACTTGTTTTCTTATAAAAGTTTATATATAGTCATATAATATCTTATAAAAGTGTGCAGTGCTTCACAATTTTTTTTCTGTGGGAGCAACATGATTTGTTTGCCTGGCTGTTAAATTAGAATACTTTTAAGTAGAACAAGAATAAATCAGACAAAGATGTACCCGTCATATAAGTGAATACATTTCCAGCCACAGTGACTGGTATTCCAAATATAGACAACATTTTCCAAATACACAGGATGAAATACCAGTGTCTGCCTCTAGAGAGCAGCATTGAAATGCATGTTCATTCTTAAACAGTCATAACAAAAACAAAGAGATTCTCCCGAATTCCTGTTCCAGGTTATCCTTCCTTTCAGTCGGGCTTTAATGGGCTTAGTTTTTCCAGCTTGAAGGTCTTCTTACAGAGTATAAGAATCACAGTGAGAAAACTTCAGTTTTGACAATGCACCTTTTTTAGTGCCAATTTGCTAAAACAAAGTTAAACTCTTGCATAAAAAAACAGATAATGTTTGAGTGGGGGCAAGGTGGCATGAACTTGATGCTTCATGGCTCTGAGGTCCGGGGTTCAACTCTGTTGTTCCTTCCGTGTGGAGTTTACATGTTCTCTCCCCACATCTGTGTGGATTTGCTCTGGTTTTCTCCCATGTCCCAAATGCAAGCAGGTGAGGTTTATTTCTCTCTCTGATTTTTCCCTGTCCCCTGCATCCAGGTTATAGTCCCACCCTACAGCCATGTGCTTCCTGACAGGCTCTTTGTGGCTGTGACCCGTGTGGCGAAGAATAATCAGCTTTCAGAATCGGGATGGATGAGATATGGAATTGAATGTGAAAAATAAGAATAAAGAGGTAGAAGATGGAACTCAATGCCTTGTAGCATAACTAATACCTGCTTTCAAACGCCTTTCAAAAAAGGAGTTCTGAATATTATAAATAAACTGATAATACACCTTATTTACACAGAGTGGCTTAGAGTGTTAGTGTTAGCCCCTACTGGATGATTGCATTAAGTTAAAAACGTACAGTAGATCTGAGATTGTTTGCAATACAGACCTTGCAAACCAACGTTGCATACTTCCTGAAAGTCCTGACTGGTAAGGTGGAGGGAGGAATGTTAAAGGGAACTACTGGTTATATAAAGCACTGATGTGGTAAGTATGAAGATAAGGAGTCTATTTAAGTAGGTTTCATGAGCTATTGCATTATCGGAAGCTTTAATTTTGTATCCTTCATTTCCAGTATTCTTTTAACAGTGTATGTCCTTTTTAGACTGTTTCATCACTATACCATTTAGGTTCGGCAATCATGTTAAAAAACTCATTTGATAAAATAAGGACTTAAAAACATTTTTTAAAGTTTTAGAGACCAGCACTGGTAAATTTGCAGCTATTCCATTATTTCCATTATTCCATGGATTTTACTATTCCCTGAAGCATTTTGCTGTAATACTCAGAAAACACTGGGATTATTCCTTGGAAGTACCTGACATACAGTATTTTGCAGTAATAGGGAATAATTGCAATAAACTACCATCCCTTTTGTCAGAGTATTGCACAAGAATGACTGAAAATAATGAAAAGCTACACAATTTATATTTAAAATATGTAAAACAATGCCTTAACAATTAACAGAACCATTTCGGAAGATTTCGCTCCCAAACATTAATTGCTCCAGTTACACTGTATCAAAACGAAACTCACTTTTTTTTTTTACACAAAAAGTCTCAGTCTATATTGCTTCTATTTGTATGATATATGATTGACATCTTCACTCTTTTAGTATTCCTTTCTGGACAAGAAGGGCCGTTTCTGTTCCGGAGATAAAAAAAGCTTTGAAAACCCCCAGTAAATATGGGGGGTTTGCCCTCATCTATTTGATCGGTACAGTACTTTCACATTTCTTATAACAGCTTTGAAGTCTAAAAGTATTTCTTTGAAGTATTTCAGAGAGGCAATGTTGGCTTCTAGCAATGAGCTGGAATGTGATTTTTCAAGCAGTGTGATTGTGCTTGTCCTGTCTCAATTCCTTGTCTACTTCGGTTTCTTCCTATGTGAGCTTTTTAAAACAAATCTTTATACAGTACAGCAGTACAACAAGTACTTTGAGACTCAAATGGTATGATCACGGATATCTGAAAGTCTTGAATTGAACCGTTCAAGTGAAAACAGAATAAAAAGGTTATTTCATGACTCAACCACCAAACCTTACAATCTGCTAGTTCATCCATCACAGCCCTGTAAAAATGTGTCATCAAGTCGGCATCATTCTCTTTAGATTTCCAGCTGCTCTGTTCTGTAAAGACCCACCGATACTCTGCCTTACTGGCTGTATTTTCTAAACAAAAACAAATGAATGTAATTAATAAACAAAGACATTGTGGGGTCTACATGTGGAGTTTCGAAACGTTTTGGTCTTTATTTTAGTAGAAACATGTTTCCACGCCCTCAAAAATGATTCCATTTAAAAAGGATTCCAGGTTAATTCACATTCACACAGCAAAAAGAAAACAAAGCAGTTGCTCCACATAAACATAATCATGCAGAAAATAACAGAATCCTGGAGTGACCTCTGTGACTTGTGGTGAAGTGAAACAGCTGTCCACATTTATTGCACTGTCCTATCTCAGTGCACATCCCCATAAGGTTGTTCTTTTTTTTTCACTGAACTATTACCGTTACACACAATGAATCAGCCCATCAAGTTACTTTTGAGCACTTTTCAACAGAGTAATAGCACTAAAAAGTAATATTAGCCCTGTACCATGAGATGGGTTTAAAGCATATTTGATATTTAACCGACTAGGAACTATACCTAAGAACACCTATTATTGAAGGGTTTGAAGCAATGCAAGTCCCACCTGTGTCTGTGTACATCATTAACTACAAGCCCATTAAATGTTGTTTGGATGGATACAGTAGATGCTCTTGCTTTGCAGGCCTGTCCAAATGTCTCAGCATCCACCTGGGACTCCCAATACCGCAATGAAGAATAAAAGACAGAAACTCCCTGTGCTGATCATCACCTCCATGTAGGTCCTGATTATATCTTGTTGCGGTAGAATTGATATTATCATTGGGACAAATGCAAAAAAATTGGTTTACAACAGTCAGTGAGTAATGTCCCATCACCACAGACCACTGGTAACTCAGGGCAGCATAGGATTTTAGCAAAAGTGTACAAACTTCAAGAAATGTTAATAAAGAACACATACAAAGTGTATTTTTCCCCTATTTAGAGATTTAATACACAATTGTTAAATCTACCTTTTCTTTTATCGTTAAAACCAACACAAGCCTTGCACAAGTTACTTTCTGTAGGAGTAAGAAGTCAAGCAAAAGACAAGACAGCTTACCTCTCACTGAGACGGCGCCACAGCTGGGCTCCTGGAAAAAATAATAACAATCAATAAAGACATTTAGAATTCATTTAAAAAAAAATTTTATAATAAACATTTTGAGAATATTAAAAACACTAGAAATAACTTCTACTTCAGCATGCCATGTCCAGATTTCTCAATTTCATTGATACCTACTGTATGACGTTTAAGAAAAAAAGGATTCCTTTACTTAAACAAATGGCAAAACACAAGCTTTTTTTATTGTGCCTCAAGAGAAACATCCAGGGTCCATATGGTTTATAACCCTGTCTTTAAAAAGTAGAGATTGAAAGCCCTACTTAAATTGATTATGCCATACTGTACCTCTTGTTCTGGACAGCACTAAATCCTTCACCATCTGCACAGTCACAAGGCAAACCAAAGATAAGGCAAGCAGATAGCAAACTCTCCAGGAGCTGAGGGCCACAAACCTAAAAGAACGGGAATCACAAACACAGTCTAACCTAAACCAGAAAAGGATGGAAACAGAAGACTCTCTCTCTGTCGCACGAAGCTTGGCTGTATAACACAAAAAGCTGGAAGTGTCTCCCAGACATTCAGTTCTAATATTTTTAAGAAGGAAACCAAAAAAATACCTGAATATGAACTCCCGACACAAAACTGACCCTCTTAATAGCAAGCCACAAAGCAAACTTCTCCATCTGTTATTACCAGACAGCCACACAACCATTGGTTCTAGTTCTATCACCCTAGCTTTTAAAAATGTCCCTGCGCTATATCGTCCATCCATCCATTTTCTAACCCCTTTGTTCAATACAGAGTCGTGGAGGAGCCCAAGCGTATCGTGGCAAGCAACAGGCACAAGGTAGGGCACGCCTCGGGTGGGATGCCAGTCCATCACAAGGGCCTATTCTGTGAAAGTGTTCGTTCAGGACTGTCATGGAATAACCAACAGCCTTGAAACCATTTCAGGCCTTGTTAAAGCCTGACGGAGACTGAATGAGACTGAGACTACGCCATATGTCTCTTTTCACAGTAAGGGTCACAGAAGGTCAGCAGAGTTTAAAGCAGGGGTGTCAAACCCAATTCCTGGGGGTTCTGGTGTCTTCTAGTTTTTGTTCCAGCTGAACTCTCATGTATATAGTGGGTCTAATTAAGTAATTAACTGCACAACCAGAACATTTCTAACCTTGTTCCAAAGTGGTTTATATGTAAATAAGTAAATTTTTTGCATTATCAACTGTAAAATAGCTTATGCAACATCCTATATGTTGGTAAAGAAGATTATAACAAGTAAATAAAGAAGATTTATTCTTAGTTACCCTACCCCCCAACACAAAATAATACATATACACCTAAAAAAAACTTTTAACAGCTGTCTGCCTTTTCTTCTAATATGTTTAGTTTTCAAGCAGGTTCACTGAACCAAGAAGAGTAACCACATCATCACTTTCAATAGCTGCTTGTCCAATTCAGGGTCACAGATCCCAGAGCTTATCCTAGGAAGCACTGGGCATAAGGCAGGATACATACTAGACATACCAGAAGGGATGTCCAGAAAAATTAGGGAAGCCATTGTACATGTGTAAGGTGATGTATTTTGTGAAGAGCACTGCAGGGCTTGTTTTAGAAAGCAAATGGGAAAATTGCCTCATCTGTTGGGGGCCCCAATGGGATATGTTAGACCATAACCCATTGGGGCTACAAATGAAAAGCAGCAATACCAAGGATCTGTATATCATGGCTCAGTCATTAAAACAGTCACATGTTTTAATGTGATGAACGGTATTTATTGTTCTGTAAAAGCCCCCTTCCCAGCCACAGTACTTCTCTATGTGTGTCAGAGAAAAGGAAGGGACTCCCTTCCAAAATCTCTACCATAGGCTCATGAAAGCCAAAATCTCAGTCCTGGGTTTAAACAGTAGATGGCTGGTTCACCTCAAGATTCAGAAATCAGAATGATTCAGCTCTAAAACAGAAAAATTATATTGAGATGTCTCCTGTTAATTTCATTGTAGTAGCTTATCTCACAGCACACTTCTCAGTAACAATACAAACAAATAAACATGCCATTTCATGCCTGTAACTGCCACTTGACGGTTACTCTTTGTAATACTAGTAAATGGTAATGCTCATAATAGTATTATTATTATTATTATTATTATTATTATTATTATTATTATTATTATTATTATTTTAGTCCTTTAAGAGTTATGCTTTAGATTTGTCGGTGCGTAGGTCTGCATGTGAGAAACGGAGATTATTAACTTGTGAAAACACAGACCTCTTGCTGGGTAAGGCACTTAAAGACTTTGTTGTTTTAAACCGCATCAAAGAGTAAAAAAAACTTTTTGGAAGTGTACTGTTTACAATGTTTCAGGCACACCAGAGTTCTGCCACTTGACTGATTAGAGCTACTGACTATTATTGTGACTCGCTGGGTTAAAAGATCACGACTTGCCTTGTGGTGATCAGAGAGGCCATGTCATTTGTTTCAGTCTATAATATATTCCCCTGACATTATCATGTATTATTCAAATCTCATCATAATATCTTTTTTTGTACTGTTACACGTCCTCTTCTCAATGGTAGAGTTCTATATATGGGAACGGAAGACTCCTCTTGCTGAATGGTAGGTTATCATATCATTTTACAGTTAGAAACAGTTTATTTATTGATACAATATTTTGGGTGGTAAAAGCTTGCCCTAAATGATAACGGAAACAGAATTCAAAAACAAAGACAACTGTCCTTTTCAATTGTTATATTTCTCTAGGAAATACATCTTGGTTCATTTCACTATAACGCACTCAGACACAACATTGCGCGCTGGGCTTTCTTCAAACAAGGTAGATGTAACTTTGGAATCCCTTCCCAAGTATACTAAATACTGTACAAACTCTTGTCCAACGCACAGCCTTATCACAAACCTCAGCACACAGTCATTTTAGCTAATGGCTTAAATACAACGATCCCAGAAAGCAAACTAATTTGCTTCTAACCTGATCTCTGATAAATCTGACAAATAATGTATTCCGTAAATACAAATTACATTGTTGAAATTGTTCAAAGCTCTGAATAAAACCTTTTGGACTGTCTCTCTCATGGGCCAGGTTTACATATTTGAGAGGTAGCTACAGCAATAAATGTTATTTTAAAATAAGATAGGTCTCAGTTATATTTTCATGGCAACATAAATAGCCAATGCAAGCGTTTTATTCGGGCTTTATCTCAACGCCTATTTTTAGAACAGAGAAAATTGTTTTTTTTTTTACAGTGCATACAGTACAAATAGATGAAGCAGCTTTGTGGGAGGGTCTTGTGCAACCCTTTTTGAAGAATACTAATGCACAATGGCACAGACAGATGTAGATAAAAAGTAGGTGAAGAAGGCATTCTCGCACAACAGTATCGAGAACCGCTACAAAGAATGCAAATTGTCAGGTGCACTTTAAGAGCCCTAAATAAACAAGTCATGGGATCAGCTCGCCTGAGCCATTCATGTCATTTTTACCGACGTTGGCGTGATCAAATTCTGGGCTATGTTTACAGAATTAATGAAACTGAAACTCCTACAAACGAACACACTCATGTCATTCAAAGATAAAATCATATTCATTTAATAAAGCTTGGGCATAAATACAGTCTACCAGCTAGAGCCACTCCTTAACAAACCTTAATTAAATGACCAGTAGGGTAGTGTTACAAACAAATGTGAACTGCTGCCAATTTCTTTTTTTACCGGCTGCCTTCTAATTCCGGTTTGTAACAAAAGCCGTAAAGAAAGGTTTGTAACAGATAAACTACTCGTGCTTGAGAGGTCGTTAACTCCTGCTTTAGCTCATAACTTTCAGAGGAAGCGTGAGCATCGTTTCAAAATGCAGTCACGTTCATCGTAAGCAAAAATGGTAATGCAGAACTAAAAAAAAGACGCCTTTGCTTAACCTGTTGGCTTTAAATCCCTGTTAAAACAAGGTAATAATAGCGATGGGAAAGACGGTAATCTAAAATTTGGGGCATCTGAACAACAATTTAAATACCTGTGGTTTAGTTTTTTTTGTGTGTGTGCATGCAGTACTTATCATTGCTCTAGGACGGACAGCCCATACCAGAAGACGGCGTTGGTGGCTGCGAACAGCAGGGTGCTGCTCAGCGGTCTCCGCCAGGTTACCACGTCTACGAAGTGGCTGAAGAGCGAACTGTCACGGGGCTGCCGGGGCGCTGCAACCTGCTCTTTCATCTCTGCGTCTGCCATTTCCCCAGCCTCGGTGATCCGGAGACTCTCCGTGGAGGCTTTGCCGTCCTGCCCTCCAGCTTCAGCATCCTCGCCACTGCCTCTCCCCAGACTCGCCATAGGAAATGATCGCCAAGCTCGCCTACCGCCCTGACTTCGCCAGCCAGCCAGCCTGTTGTTGTTGTTTGTTGTTATTGACTTGCTGACGTCATCGAGAGGCAGCCAAGGTTGCGCTGGAGGACGATGACGTCATTGTAGAACAGTGACAGGCGAGGGAGCTTGAAAGCCTATATGCATGTGACCGGAATGACGGTGTTCAAGGCACTGAAGCTGCAAATGCTTAGCACAGGCTGCGTCTGGGTCAGGGAAAGGTTATATGCGCAAAGCTAGTTCATATTTGGTTGTTGGTTTTATTGTTGCAACAGAAAACATGTTTCATGCGAATTCATGTCGAAATTGACACCCCTCCTACTCTGTTCTTTAAATCATTGTGTGGTTTCTTTCTATGATAAAGGAAAGTGATCCACACAGAGAGAGAAGTGCCCCTGCAATAGTGTTTTATCTTTCTGTGGTGATTTGTAATCATCTTAAATCGTTTAATTTCATGTATATGTCACAACAGAATAAAACAAGCTTGAAATAGCCAGCACCTGGTGTTGGGCAGTTAAAGTGCTTCCCTCATTTAAACTCCCAAGTGAATTTAACTGCTGCGCTGTTTTGAGTTTCTGTTCCTCTCTCTGACTTCTTCATTGAATCACACATGCTGTTGTTCTTAATATTACCTTAGAAGAGGGGTTATAGTAGTGGATGCTATTTTCTCCAAGTTAATTAACAAATTCTTCTGCATTAATATTGGATGGGTGGTGGAAAACCATATCCTGTTAATCTCCAGTGTAAAAAGATTCTCTGGTTGCTAGGCACTGCCTAAGGGGCAGATGGCATTGTAATGACACCTATATAGCGCTTTTCTGGACACTCCATTAAAAACACTTTACAGGTAATGGGGACTCCTCTCCACCCCCAATGTGCAGCATCTACCTGGACTACTCACTACACACCAGCTATCAGTGGGGAGGAGAACAGAGTGATGAAGCCAATTCAGAGATGGGGATTATTAGGAGGCCATGACTGTTACAAGCCAGAGGTTAATGCCTACTCTTTTCGAGAAATGCCCTGGGATTTTTAATGACTCCAGAGAGACTCAGGACCTTTATGTCTCATCTGAAGGGATGGCACCTTTTTTT